GGGAGGCTGAGCAGAAAGGATTACTGAGCCAGATTTGAGCTTGTCAGTGAGCTAGGCTGACGCCACAGCACTCTATGCCCAGGCAAACACAGTGAAACTCTGTCACACGAGGGCCAAGGCGGCGGATGGCTCAGGTCAGGAGTTCAAAACCAGCCTGAGCAAGAGCGAGAGCCCCGTCTCTACTATAAATAGAAAGAAATTAATTGGCCAACTGATATATATATAAAAAATTAGCCGGGCATGGTGGTGCATGCCTGTAGTCCCAGCCACTCGGGAGGCTGAGGCAGGAGGATTGCTTGAGCCCAGGAGTTTGAGGTTGTTGTGAGCTAGGCTGACGACACGGCACTCACTCTAGCCTGGGCAACAAAGCGAGACTCTGTCTCAAAAAAAAAAAAAGAAAGTGCTGGGGTCTCTGGTCACTGGTGTCCAGCTGGGTGCTGTGGCGGTGGCTCCTGCCTCCTGCAGCCCTGTCAGGGCTCAAGGCCTTCCCTGTGGCCACCTTGCTGCAGCCTACTCGCTGGAGTTGGGTTCTGAGTGTGTGTACAGAGGAATACTTGCGCTCCTACTCGGGGAGTCATAGAGTTCTCTCTAAACTAGCAGTTTCCTCTGCACCTAGGGAGAGCCCGCTGCAAAAAAGGCTCACTCAGATCCTCGGGTGTACATGACATCAAGATCGGGAACAAGCCAGCTGGCCACATCCAAATGCTCCTGCGTTCAGACGTTGTGCCCATGACAGCAGGTGAGCAGGGCTCTTTGTCATGATATGTGGAAGCTGCCGGCCAAGCAGGCCTGGGGAGGAAGCTGCCTGGAACCCTGGGCCCTTGACACTTTCAACCTAAGGCCATCTGAGGCATCTTACATCCCAGCACGGGAGGCTGAGGCAGAAGGATTACTTGAGCCCAGGAGTTTGAGGTTGCTGTGAGCTAGGCTGACGTCACAGCACTCTAGCCCAGGCAACACAGTGAAACTCTGTCACACACACACAAAAAAAATAGAGTCTCACTCTGCTGCCTAGGCTAGAGTGCAGTGGTGTGATAATAGCTCAGTATAACCTCAAGCTCCTGGGCTCCAGTGATCCTCCTGCCTCAGCCTCCCAAGTAGCTGGGAGTACAGACATGTACTACTACACCTGGCTATTTTTTTTTTAGACACAGGGATCTTGCTATGTTGTCCAGGCTGGTCTCGAGCTCCTAAGCTCAAGTGATTCTCCCACCTCGGCCTCCCAGAGTGCTAGGATTACAAGTGAGAGCCACCGTGCCTGCCCAAGTATTTAATTTAAATAAAGGTAATATATATACTGTTTTAGATTCTGAGAGCAGGAGTTTTAAATGTCTAGGTAGGTATTTTGACCTCAGCACTTGATTTCCTTTCCCCACCCCAGAGAACTTCCGCTGCCTGTGCACCTGTGAAAAGGACTTCGGCTTCAAGGGGAGCAGCTTCCACCGCATCATCCCCCAGTTCACGTGCCAGGGCGGCGATTTCACAAACCACAGTGGCACTGGGGGCAAGTCCATCTACGGGAAGAAGTTTGACGGCGAAAACTTTATGCTCGAGCACCCAGGACCATGTAGGAGCCGATCAGTGTGTGGTGACGAGTGAGGCCAGGCCAGGGAGGAATGGCCATGCAGGAGGGAGGGACAGGGCGTCTGCAGGAGACCAGCTGCAGCACAAGGGGTCCCGATCAGCCTTGCGAGGGTGGGCTTAGCTTTGGGCTTCGAAAGGTTTGTTTTTTATTTTGGCTTATTCAAGTTCCTATTGGTCTCCTTTTATTATAAGAGGAATACACATAGAAGTCTGGTTCTGCTATTGCAGTGGTGTATTGTTATTATTGCTTTGTAACTTTTTATTTTATATAAATACTTACAGAAGAGTTATAATAGCACAATGAACCCCTATATACACTTTGGGGCCTTTTACTCAGATTCATCAGTTGTTTACATTGGTGAACATCACTTCCTATTTATTCTATTCTCTTTCTGTGTATATTATAGACAGTGCTTATTTTTTGGAGCCATGTGAGAGTAGGTTGGAGGTGTCACATACCTAAGAACAGGGACATTTTTTTGTTTTTGTTTTTTTGAGACAGAGTCTCACTCTGTTGCCCAGGCTAGAGTGAGTGCCGTGGCATCAGCCTGGCTCACAGCAATCGACTAGGACCAGTATTTTCGTGTACACCACACTCAAACCAACTCCAGCGAGTAGGCTGCAGCAAGGTGGCCACAGGAAGGCCTGAGCCCTGACAGGGCTGCAGGAGGCAGGAGCCACCGCCACAGCACCAGCTGACACCAGTGGACCAGGACCCCAGCACTTCTTTTTTTTTGAGACAGGTCCTCGGCTTTGTTGCCAGGCTAGAGTGAGTGCCTGGGTAGCCGTAGTCACAACAACCTCAAACTCCTGGGTTCAAGCAATCCTCCTGCCAGCTCCGAGTGGCTGGACTACAGGCATGCACCCCATGCCCGGCTAATTTTTTATATATATACAGTTGGCAATTAATTTCTTTCTTTTTATAGTAGACGGGTCTCGCTCTTGCTCCAGGCTGGTTTTGAATCCTGACCTTGAGCAATCCGCCGCCTTGGCCTCCAGAAAGCTAGGATTACAGGCGTGAGCCACCCTCGCCGGCCTCCCAGCACTTTCTGATTTGAGGCTACCAACCCGCCGCCGCAGGTCCTCTGGCAAAGCTACTCCTTGACATCAGCTCGCTTCTCCCTGCCCTGCAGTCCTGGAATGGGACTTTTCTGGCCCAGCATTCGCAACTACTCCCAATATCTTCAAACCCCAGTTCAAGCCCACCGTCCCCTAGTTAAGCGGACCCGTTCACATACCACCCACCTCCTCCTCTACGCTCAGCCATCCATATTCCCAGCGGTACACAGAAGAAGCTATGGGGCAATTGGGTGTGAGAGCTACTGCATGCAGATTTGAGAAAGATTCTACTGACAAAACTTAGAGTAGGACGAAGAAGTTTATTTACTTTTTCCGGTAGGGGAGATAGGGGCCGGGAAAAGGGCCAGCATGGAGGTGGAGAAAGAAAAGGCAGCTATTCAGACTTTTTTAAAGGGAGTGGTTGTAAATTAGTGGGTTGTAAATTAGTTGAGAAACTGCTGCATGCCACTCCTGCCTTTCTTCTCAGAGGCAAGATGATAGCAGCAGCAGCAGCAGCAGGATGTCCAAGTCTAAGAGTTGGCTCACCTGCCTTTCCTAGGAGAGGGGATTATCCCCGGAGGTGACTGTGCCCTTGAGATATGGCTGAGGTCTGAAGCTTGCACCCTGCTGCTCACTCGGAACCTCTAGACTTAGAAAAGCAGATTCTCAGAGGAATTTTCAAAGAAGAGAGTTTACACCTCTCTTCCATTCTGCTAGCTCTTGTCATAAGTTGTGCAAAACAGATCCTACATGATACCTGTTAGTTGAGAGAACTCATAGGATTGATTGTAGGAATCAAAAACTCTTACTAGGAAATTGCAGGATTGATATTTCCTGTTTCTTTCATTTTGCAAGCCACACTTTCAGGCAGCCTCTTACTCAGGCTATGTGATCAGAAGACCGTGGAGGAGGCTGGGCCTTACTTCGTCCTCCAAGACAAGATCGACTAGAGAATAATAAACATGCAGTTCAAACCCTCTCATTTGCTTGACGAGAAAACTGTCGTTTCTGACTTCATTGTAGTCTTGATTAATAGTTAAACATACAGGTCTTGTAGCTATCAGCAGCATGGGGTATTAAATAAATAGATATGGCCTGCCCTCGAGGATTGGCTTCCAGCGTGGGAGAGATCCCACATTGTAGCTGAGAGACAGAGCCTGGAGCAAGGTATTTGACCTCACTTGTCCAGGTTTCCTCACCTAAATTGGGTAAATAGTAATGACTTGATCTCAAATAATTGTTATTAGGATTAAGTATGTTGTAAATATTAGAATAGGCCTTCACAGAACACAACGTTTAACATGTTGTAATAGATTCAATATAATGCAGTGACTACTAAGGATAGAAGTGGCCTACAGAGCCCAGAGGCCATGGGGACAGAAGGACACTGATCTCATCACTAGAGGATTTCAGAAGTTCTCTGCAGAAGGTAGTAACTGAAGCTGAGCCATGAAAATGAGGAGTTAGCCAGATAAAACAAGCGGAAAGGGCACTGCAAGCCGATGAATGGCTTATGCAAAAAAAAACACAGATATACGATATCTACAAACTCTTTTCCTAAATATAAAATGGAATAAAATGTGGAGGGATAGAGCTCACGTCAGACATAGGAGAAACTTTTGTAATCTTTTAACAGGACCGGACTCCATCCTATGAGAATGAGGAGCTCTAAACCAAGGAGAGTGACATAGCAGATTCTGTGCTTTGGGAGCTCTCTGGGCTGCTAAGACAGGAGAGACAGGCCTGGGGCAGGGAATCAGCCAGGTAGCTCCGTCTTATCCATAGAAAGGATAAGGACATTGGTGGCAGGAAAAAACAGGAGAAGAAATGCAGAAGATTAAAACATAAAATAGCAGGTATGGCAAATGCACTACATATGATATAAACACAGAGGTCTAAGCTGACGACGAGGACTGGTTGGGGTTCGTATGTGAAGGATGGCAAAATGACTAAGATTGAACATACAGAACCCTCCGAGTGAAAGGTGGGAAATTCATTTGGGGTGGTGCATTTATTTTATGGGGCCTGTAGACATCGTGGAAAAGAAATATGTGGAGGGTAGGGTTTTTAAGGGATAGAGATTGGAAGTCCTCAGGACCAATGAACTTGTACACACTCTCTAGGCAGGACAAAGTGGCTGAGACTGCACAAGGACAAGACGGAGAGAGGAGCTGAGGATAAGGAAGAACTCAGAACAGTGACGGACAAGGAACCCCTAAATATCCTGAACTTAAGTAATGGTCGGAGTTGTAGTAGCAGAAAAGAGTGAGGCAGGAGAGGCTGCATATGGTACAGGATGAGGAAGGCTTCACATTTATTCTCTACCTCTGGAACTGGGCAAGAATAGGAAGACAGTGAGTCTGGTGCCGCGTCTTCAGGTGAGGGAGCAGGAAAGAGCCCGGATGGTGGAAGCCAGTTGATGAGAGCATGCACTCCTTTCCAACTCTTTCTCCACTTCAAAACGCAACCACAAACCTGAGGCACACACAAGCTATTCTCACTAGAGAGAAACAGCAAGATTTCCATCGCTTCCCAACACCACTCACACAGAAGTGCCCTGGGTGGAAAGCACAGCCTCTTCTCTGAAAGCACAAACCTTCATTCTCACCTGCTGGTCCGCTCGGTGAGGCTCTAGAACCATCTCTCTACTTATCTCTTCCCACGATTCTCAACCAGTTCATCATCGTGACAGACTTAGGGAAGAATCAAAAGAATTTAAAACTCATAAGCTATCAGCCAAGTTGCTTAATTAGCTACTCACATTCAGTTGCACTGCTCCATCAGCAAGACGTGAACACATATGTAGGCTCTCACAGCAGGAGGAATCCCCAAGACAAATGCAGCCTTGAAGTCCAGCTCTTAGCAGAGGCAAATGAAGATAAGGAGGAAGGACGTAAGGTCAAGCAAAAGGGAATCTAGCCAGTGTCAAGGATTGACAAGCATAGCTTGTTGAGTCAAAGCTAGACTTTCACGTGGAAGAATGCCTCTAAGCTTGCTGAGAATCTCAAATCTTTATTTCCATGGAAGTGTTGATTCTGCTGGTCTCCACATATAAACCACTCACTTGTGTTTATACCACTACTAACACGACAGTAGACCAGGATTAAAATGCAGCAAAGGCACAAAGATATGATTATTTTTGTTTTTCGGAATCTGTGAGTTTGCTGCCCACTGCACCTGGTCTGGAAGAACTTTCGCATAATTCTGCATTGGTTGGGTCGAACTGAACAAATTAATCAAAAGACTGGGATATAGAACTAGCTTCTTAAACCCCATGTATTATAAATGACCATTACCCATGCATGCATTATTCTTAAAATTTTTAATGTCATTCATTTAGTTTTATTTTAATATGGGGTCTAATCATGTTGTCCAGTGCTGACTCAACTCCTGGCTTCTGAGCAACTGTCCCCCTCAAGCTCCACTGGGTGTGACATAGGCACATGCCACCAGATCTGACCTCATTCTCTAAGAATCTGGAGATGTGCTCAGGATAATCCATAGCCAGAGCCTGTTACTCTAACAGCAGCTAAGCACAAAAAGTGCACAAAAGCCTGAGCACCATACACTTCCTTTCCTTATACCAAACACTGAAAGGCCTGCTGGCACAATTTTTGATTGAGTTCAGGACTCTCTGAAATTCTAAGGGTAAATGGATTACAGAACTGAGTCCAACCTTAGAAAGTCTAAGATTAGCCTGGGCTGGTAGCTCCAGCCTGTTAATCCCGAATTTTGGGAGGCCAAGCAGAAGATTCCTTGAGCCCTGGAGTTGAGACCAGCCGGCCACATAGTGAGACTCGTTCTATAAAAAAAAACAGAAAAATTAGGCCAAGTGCAGTAGTGCAATCTGTAGTCCCAGCTACTTGGAGGTGAGACAGGAGGATTCTGGAGCCGCAAGAGGGTTTGAGGTTGCAGTGAGCATGATGACGTCCATTACCTCTACCTGGGCAACAAGGTGAGACCTGTCTCTAAAAAATAAAAAAAGAAAGAAAGAAAATAAGTCAAGATGAGCATTGAACGAGTACCTTGCACATAGTTAAGTGTTCAATAAATATTTTTGAAAAAAAAAAAAGATGAGCTTTAACTGAAGAAAAACAGTTCTTGTTGATTGAACATATTGATGAAAGAATAACAGAGAACATGGAATGAAATGAGAAATTATCCAGAATTATTAATATTTGAAAAGCTACAGTTAACAAAAAAAGTTTGCTTTAGCCCTTTGTGAGAACTAAAAGATTATCAAAAACAGATTCCCTTAATTGCAAGATTTAGGTTATAATTACAGTTTGTCCTTCTCTTAAACAAGGAATGGATCAGGTACTATTTATTCAGCAATTTAAAAAAATGATAGCATGAATTTATTTCGTTTCATATTTTCATGAAAGATTGATTGTAAAGATAAAAGAGGCGGGGCATTTAAGGTTTGGTGGGTAGGCAGATTGGCCCTCCAAAGATTTCACAGCTGCTCCCGGGAACCGTGTTGAATTATGGCAAGAAAGAATTAAGGTTGGATATAATTAAGGTTGCTAGTCAGTTGACGCTTAAAATAAATTAATCCTGGATATTTGGATGGGTCCCACTCTTTCTTTCCCCACACAAGGTTACTGCCCTGTACCTTGACTGAGTTGCTGTGGTGTCATCAAGTCACTGCACCATCCTGGCTAACTTTTAAAAATACTTTGTAGAGAGGGGTCTTTACATGTTCCTCAGGCTGGTCTCGAACTCCTGGCCTCAAGCGACCTCTCACCTGGCCTCCCAACTGCTTAGGATAGATTAGGAGAGCTGCTGACTCGCGCTTCCAACTGTAATTAAAGATCTATATATGTTGAAAAAAGAGACAGAGTATTAGTTTCAGCAGTGAGTGCAGTGTGAGAAGACTTGAGGCTGCCATTGCTGATCTGAAGATGGAAGAGGCCATTGAGTAAGGAATTGGACAGCTCTAGAAGCTGGTGAGAGGCAACAGATTCTCTGGGAGCCCCAAATGAAACACAGCCCTTCCTACACTTCTTGATTTTAACTCAGTGAGACCCATTGGACTTCTGAACCTCGTAGAACTGTAAAAAACTTTATTGTTCAAGTCACCAAATTTATGGGAATTTGTACAGGAGCAATAAGAATTCAAATTTCTTTTGAAGCACCCACTGTCACGATCCTTTGCAATTTTCTGTCACATGTTTCATTGGTTTAACTATACAACGCCAACTTTGTTTTGTTTTTTTGAGACAGAGTCTCACTTTGTTGCCCAGGCTAGAGTGCAGTGGCCGTGGGTCAGCATAAGCTCACAGCAACCTCAAAACTCCATGGGCTCAAGCAATCCTCCTGCCTCAGCCTCTGAGAGTTGGGACTCAGGCATGTGCCACATGCCCGGTAAGTTTCGTATTATATATTAGTTGCAATTAATCTTCTTTTATTACTAGAGACGGGCTCGCTCTTGCTCAGGCTGTTCAAACCTGACATTGAGCAATCTGCCGCCTCGGTCCCAGAGTGATAGCGTCAACTAGAGTAGTGTCCCATAATCACTCTCATACACTCATGAAACCTGTTTACCCGAATCACAACGTTGACCTTGCATCAGGTTAATTTATCTGCAGTACACTGACCAGACAGCAATTCGTGTAAAGGCTAGACGGTAAATATTCAGGCTTTGTACGTCAACTATGGTTTCTGCTGTACATTTTCTTCACACCCACCAATCCTTGTAACATTATAAACATCTATGGCTTATAGCCACAAAAAGACAGGCTGCAGGATGGATCTGGCCACAGGCTAGTTGCAATCTTGTGACAAAACAAAACAGTCAGGTAGAGATACCTAACAAAGATGCTGGTATTTATGCAAATGTAAATGAGAGAGGATGTCGATTAAATTAATTTTAATAAGTTTGTCCAGTTTCATAGTGCACTGCTTCGAGTTAATGCCAATTTTTCTGCTACTAGTAATTTTGAATGTAGAAACTAGAAATACCAATGATGCACAGTGAAGGTTCATTCTTTCTGAAAAATCTC